CATAAAGCCCTCTGCACTTTACCTAAAGCATGGTAGGATAATCTAGATCATTTTCAAGGTAAGAATTGCAGAAGGCACAAAAGGGCTCTTAAAATATTGATTTTAGTATTGATTAAGACTACTACATATTGAATTCTGGATACGTTAGCTGTGAAATAGACCCAAGAATCCGATTTTATTTTACACCTTAAAGATAAGAATGTTCTGTGTCAAGAGAGCTGTTTCTGGCCCATTTGATTTCCTTAATGCTACTTTGATAAGAATTCTGAAAGCATATTTGAAGCCTTCAATCAATAGAAGATCATAGAAGCAATCTAAATATAAATGATTCCCATCTGTGAAATCCAAGATTAAGGATAGATCAATATATTCTTTGAAAAATCTTGAATTAATCTTGACACTTTTTTTGGTTAGGTAAAACATAGTAGATCAGATAGTTAAAGACAGATTAAGGTCCACTGATTTCATAGGTGAGTGTTTAGATTGAGAGACACCTCAATCCAATTTATCAAGAAAAAATGTGGAAACATTTTGAAACCACTCTGCTAATTTATGGATATCTGCCACACAGCACAGTTTGGGATTTGACTATTTAAGAACAGGATGGGTTATACATTGCTCTTGGGAAAAATATTACAAAAATATAATTGTGGTGAACAATTCTGCAAATATTAGAGCAGGATTTGGGATTCTGCATCAAGTTATCTTAGAGTATTCTTCAAATTATCTTACTCAGAGAATTCTTCCAGCTATTGTATCTGGAGTTATAAGACTCCAACAGGGCAGAATTCTAGAACTATAATATTTTTTAAAGAATTCAGTGACTATTTATGATCAGCTCTTTCCTCTCACTGAAGTCATATGAACAACACAATGTACTGAGCTGGACAAATGTAAAGCACAGTACCTTTCCACTGACATATTTTGTAGTCCAGTTGTTGGTGAAAATAAAATTGAAGAGCTACTTTAAAAAGTTATTTTTATTATTTTTTTCTATCGACTCTCATAAGTACCACTCAAAACATACTGCTGGTGGGTCAGAACAGTCTGTTTTTCTGCTGCCACATCCTGAGCACTCAGATCAGGTTGCAAATCAGATTACTTGGAAGGTAGAAAATAATGAAGTTATTTTTTTAATTCCCTGTTTTAAAACACAAAAGCAAAAACTTTACACTCTTAAAATCAAAAGCTGCTTGTGCTGTTATTGTTAACCTCCTGCAACATTCTCATCCATTCATTTAACAGCAACTTACTGAGTGTCACCTACAGTGCTATTTTTGTGTAAAGTCAGATTTGCATGCAGTAGCATTAAGATAATTGATTTAAATGGTAATTTATCACTCTAAGGTATTTACCTCATAGATGGCAAAAACTGAAAATATTAATGAATTAACCAATGGTGTTGGCCACTTGGTTAGGATGTTGAATAAAGTCACACTGAGCTTATCCTACAAACTGCCCTGAGACTACAAGAAGTTGTGGCTATGCTTAAATTAGATCAGACATTTCCTTCTATGGTTACACAACTATCTCCAGATGTATGTGCTCCATAAGGAGGTAGTCTTCTCATTCCAAATCTTCCATGAGCAAGGTTTTAACAGGAACATTGATATCTCCCATATGACCTAGCTGTCCCACTTCTGGGTATTTATCAAAATAACACAAAAACACTAATTTGAAAAGATACATGCACTCCTATGTTCATCACAGTATTATTTACCATAGCCAAGACATGGAAACAACTTAAGTATCCATCAATAGATGAATGGATAAAGAAGATGATGTGATGGTTGTTCAGCCATAAAAAGATGACATCTTACCATCTGTGACAACATGGATGGACCTTGAGGTTATTATGTTAAGTGAAATGAGTCAGACAGAGCAACACAAATATCATGTGATTTCACTCCCATGTGGAATATAAAAATAAGCAACCAAAATATCTGAAATAAATGGACAAACCAAATCAAAAAAATAAATAAATAAACACATAGATTCAGAGAACAGAGTGAGTGGTTACCAGAGGGAAAAGGCAGGCATGGGCAAAATGGGTAAAGGGGATCAACTGTATGGTGACAGATAGAAACTAAGATTTTGGTGGTGAGCATGCTGTACCTTACACAGAAGTAGAAAAATAATGTACATATAAAGCTTATATAATGTTATAAATCAATGTTAACTCAATAGAAATAAATTTTTAATAAAATATTAATTAATTAATTAATCTTGGCAACTGGTCACATGTGAAGATTATGCCTGCCAAGGTATATGAATTATAAGAGTTCAACAGACAATCACATTGGGCTCAGGCACTACACACATTCATGTGTATGTCAAAAGTAATATTACATATATTATGTTGTTCTTTTGTCAGGTAGATAAAAATGAATGGAGGTACCTAGATTTGACTCTCTGTAATTAGCCTCTGATATTAACCAGTGTCAAAATAGCCAATCTGCTGTGCTTCTTCCAGTGTTAGAGTTTGGGATAGTTCCAAAAAATGAGGTCACTTTTGAACACATAATGTTAAAGGCCAGAAAGGGAGACTCTTTATAAAATTAATTATGTGAGTTATTACTGAGCACTTTCTATATAGTAGAGTTAGTATGTAAATCTAGCACTATGATACAGTATTCCAAAATTGTGAAGGTGGGAATAGAAATGGGGTGGAGGTTAGGCTTAATTCTAGGGATTATCCTGTACAATAGGTGTTCAGGAATTATATGGCAGCAAAGCAAAAAAATGTTTCTTATAACCCCATTAACTTTCTTTATGAAAAGAGCGGTTATTTTTCTCTGGAAAACAGTTTAGAAATAACATGGTTTTCTTAAAGCAATTGGTAAGTAACTGTTAGAATATGTTATTTTATTTCAGTAAACAATCCCTTAGGATCACATGAAAGGCATCTAACTTCTCAAAAAGAAAGTAGTAAATCCGTAAGTCAGCTGTGTTGAGAATGGGCCATAGTTCTCTATAACATCCCAAACTTCACTCTACAAAGCCTGATCATTGGGTGATGGTTGCTGCCCATATATTTATAATTTATAGACTGGCAGACTGTTTCGGATATTATTTACTTCAAATAATAAGGTTGAAAAGAGATTAGTTTCTTGTTTGATCCAGAACTTTATATTCTGCAATTTTACCCAATTTCTCATCTATGTAACACTTAACACAAAAGATATATATTGAACATTTGGTCAGGAAGTGCTTAGATATACATATAAAATTTTATTATAAACAAAAAATTTAAATCTGTAGTTTTCTTTTCCTGCTTTACTAGTGGAAACCTTTTTTAAATTATATTTTACTGTATTACTTTTAATGAAAAGTTATTGATGAAAATGTTGGTACAATTTTTCTTTATAAATTTAGTGACCAAGAAATATCACAGGGAATAATAGCAAAAGGACTTTCCTGTGGGTTTGCTAAATAAAAAACCAAGCTAAAAAATATTTTTGAAGGAAATACAATTCTTAATGCTTTAAAATAAATTGTTACATGTTTAGCTGTCTGATATCAAAATATGTGATCTGTTGACTTTAAAATCTAGGACCCCGCTCTTAAAAAAATTCAGAACAGTGTATGTATATATTTCCGCAAAGACAGATTTTTTTGCTCACTATAATTACTATGTCAAAAAGAAAGACTGTTTAAAGAAAGAATTAATGGCGAATAGAAATATATCAAAGTGAAAAAAACATTTAATTAAAGACAGATTTGGTGATTTTATAAAAGCAAAACCCCAGCTGTGCTGTCATGTTAACCTCTGTATACTTCAGTACACATTTCTTAAGAACTACAAAAGTTTTCTTATTGAGATATAGTTTCTAAATCAAAATATTAAATTTGTGGGTTTCTTCCTATTTCTCAGATAATTTCTCAATGCATGGTGTCCTCATTACTTCAAAAGTAGACCGTTCTTTTGGTCAATTATACAAAATGTGATTCTGAGTATTTCAAATTGTGTATCTTTGTATATTCATGCATATTTGTTACTTTTATTTATTAACTCAGTAGTCCTTCAACAATTAAAAATTTTATTCTAGAATATAGGTCTGCTCCTAAGTGGGTTTTGTTATTCTAGACGAGGTGAAATATAAACAGAAACTGTATTAGCAGTTAGATTAGCAGGAGAATGATAAATGATAAATGAAAAGATTCAGATTCTGAATGAGAAGTTATAGATATAAGTTTCACTTCTAAAATTCTGATGGAGGATGTTCATTTGTCAAATGTTTGTGCTTTCTAAATAATCTCACCTATCATAATGGATTTTGTGAAAATACAAATAAGAAAGTTTCACAGGAAAGGGAAACCTGTACCATACAGATAATACAATGGAGATAACAATTTTAATTTTTAAAAACGTGTTGCACAATTTTTTTTAACCATTCAGAGAACTTTTATCTCAAAAGCCACTATCCATGTTCTATATATTCAATAAAAGAAGTACTGCTACTCATATAGCTGAAAGTTAACTGCAATTGATTCACAATCTAACTTTATGTTTTGCAATTTAATTACTTTTGCTAACAGTTTTCGGTCCTTGGTTTATTTGTTTTCTGGTTTTTTTTTTTTTTTTTGGCTCTTCAGCAAATCTATTAGCATGGGATGAGAAGAGAGAAGAGGGTGCCTATCATTTCTCAAATTTGTTAACTTATTTTAAAGTACCTTTGCTAAAATGCTTGGAAAGACAGTAAATGAAAACTACTGGCAAAACCAATTGTTCTTTAAAATATGACCCACAGATTTAATGTATTTATGTTACCTCTGTTCCCTATGGAGAACCCACAGTTGGTTGTAATAGTCAGAGTGCCAGCCAGACTTCAATGTAAGGATAAAGGCATGTAATCTCTGTTTCTATTTGTCAAAGTTCTTCCTGTATTTTTATTAAATCAATACTTGCACTACATAATGTCAATGCCTACTGACTCTGGTAGTATTCTTGACTTCTAAAAAATGGATTATAAGAATTGGTTTTGTATTTTGGTCCACAGATTTTCCACATGACATATGACCTGGCCAGCGCCGTGGTGAGAATTTTCAACCTCATCGGCATGATGCTGCTGCTGTGTCACTGGGACGGCTGTCTCCAGTTCCTGGTACCACTGCTGCAGGACTTCCCACCGGATTGCTGGGTGTCTCTCAACAACATGGTTGTAAGTAGCTCATACTATTTCACATTGCGTTTTCTATGTTTTGCCCAAAAAGTTTCAAATGTTTATGTTATAATGATCTAGTTATCCTCCATAAATGGTTAGAGAAAACTTTGCTTCAATGGATATAAAATTAGCTGTTATTTTTCTCTTTCTACAACTAAATTTTATTTACATGAAATATGCCAGGGGATGTATATGTTACAGCATCTATTTTTAGATATCTTACTCTGTGTATTTTGAGATATATTTTATTTCAAAAATACACATACAAACACACACATATAATCATAGTACAACATTCTTTTAAAATTACCTACTGGTCAGAATGACTTCTTTCTTTCAACGTGATCTTAGCATTTACTATGTTCAAGACATGAAATTCTAGACGTTGTTAAACATGAAGACACATGTACATCAGTGTAAATGCAAATGAGATGCATTTGACATGCAATATTTCAGGTAGTACTTCCTTCTAGTGAAAATACCATGGAAGAGGCAGCCTTTAAACTTTGCCTTGAAAGATATGTAAATATAAAAATGTCTGTGAAATATAAATTTGATTTACACAGTTAAATGTACTTATATTCACATTTAATTTTAAGAGTGTATGTTTTGATCTACATAGTGCAACACTCACAAAGGAACTGAAACAATAGTGAATATTTTAATATATATTCACAAATATTTGTTCTCTTTTTATATATGTTTCATATTTTCTTCTTGTATTACATTTTAATTATTACATTTAAGAAGATGTTACTTAAGTTAGCTATATGTTAGAATAGCCTTCTCTTCTCTTTGACATTTTATAGAAAGTACATTTTATGAGACTTTCACAAATTTTAACTTTGGCATAAATTGAATACCCTCTTCTTTCCCAAACTGTTTTTTTATTAATTTCATAGCTTATTATTATAGCAATGACATGGGCATCTTAGAAATATACATTTTTTTCTCCCAATAACTGTAGCTCAGGCTTTGTGTTTGAAGGCCAGAGGGGTTTATGGCACATGTAAAGAAGAGTGTCTTTTTCTCCCTTTTCTCTCTTTTTGCCTATGTATTTTCCTCCCTCCTTCTCCCCTCCCTTTCTTCCTTCCTTCTTTATTGCTTTCACTCCTTTCTTCGAGACCTGATATTCACCTGGATCTCTCCTTCATTTCATTCATACCTGCTTAAATGTCACTGCCTCACAGAAGCCTTCCCTGACAGCCCTAATACATCACCCAATATGTTTATATTTCATCTTAAAAGAATTTAGCAACACACGAACGTGCACGTGGGCATGCGTGCACACATAATCTGTTGTTTATATTTTTGTGTGTCTCCCACACTGGAATGTAAGTTCCATTAGGTCAAAGAATTTGTCTTGTTCTACCCTTTATCTCCAGTGCCTAGAACAGTTCCAGACACAGTAATTTGCTGTAATCTAGTCACTTATCAAAAGTTTGGGGAATGTTCTATATGGGACTTTCTGTATCTAAAAAACAAGCCAGGGAGTTTCTTTTCTAATCTCTTTTCTAGCTCTTTTCTTTTCGAACTCACTTTTCTTATCTGTGTAGTTCCCTTGATTATAGATTTACCACTTTTCATATCATTGAAGATGCAATACATAAAGACAATACTAAGATATTTGGGGGTGAGGAAAAAATAGCTCTATAATCTGGCTACTGACTGAATGAATAGTATAAAAAATACTAACATTGCTGCCAAAAGATGGTTCATCATTGGCACCAACTAATATTTAAGTTTGCAAGTAATTATTATTTTAAATTTTCCCGAGGTATCTTTCAAAAAATAGCAGTTGTCTTTATTGGAAGAGTAAAGGGACTGTTTTTAGGTATCCATAAATTGCATGTAATTGCATAAATTGAATTGCAAATTTTATAAGGTTGGGAAATATAATACTTAATACATACAGTGGGATATGCATTTAATGAAGAAAAATTTTAACGTCTTGCTCATTTTTCTTTAAATGCCTCTGCATGTTCTCATTTGTGTCTGTGTTTGTGTTTGAGCTAACATAGCCAAACATTTTTTATATACTGATGTTGAACAAAATACCCTTTCCTGAATTTACAGTTCACTTTTTTGCTTTTTTTTTTTCTGTTTGGCTGCAGTTTTACTTACGAAATGGGCTCGTATTTTCTTTCATATTTATTGAATATTATTTCCATGTTTAATGTAGAGGATAGGAAAGAGTTAACTATAAAGACCAGAAATTCTTCTGTATTGTGGTTATTAGTGATAGGAAGGAGATAACGACCATAAAAAAGACCATTTTTAATCAATAGAGAATCTGATGGTGTCATCTGACCTTGCAGATCCTATTTTCTATCCTAAAGCTATTGAGTTCTCGAAAACCTTCCATCCTTCACAATAAAACAGAGAAAAATGTATTTACATACAAAGAGAGTTGGAAAGGAGAAGTTAAAATCCAATATAAGCAAGAAGCACCCTGTATTTACATATCATGCTTAAGCCCAGAGCTTCAAGAAATGCTCTCTTGTTTGGTTCTCACCGCAGAAGAATGAGTGAGATAAGCTTTATTCTCTTCTGTTTTGCAGTTCAGAAAACTGAAACTTTTAGAGGTTAAACTGTTTGTTCATTGTCACACATGCAGATTGTAGAGTCAAGATTAAAATGCGTATCTATCTGACTCCTTAATTTCTGTTCTAAACCATGTTAGAATACTTTATGTTGCATAGATTATTAATAAAACAGTTAAGAAAAGTAGATACAAAAAAGAAAACCTGTAGTCACAGCATGCCAGTTGTAGTATAAAGTCACTTGAAAATCAGGATTTGACCTCTGACACTAAAAACTGACAAGACTAATATGAGAAGCAGATGTAGAAAAATAAATGAAACTAGGAAGCAAAAACGGAGAAGCCAGATCAGGGTGGACGCGGAACATAATACGAGTCATTTTGGGGTATGGGTTGACAATTACTCTTTAACATTTGACATTATTACGAAATGACTTAAGATAAAGATTAGGTAGAGTGTTCAGACAATTCCTTGTGCATTCCTGCCTTCCCATATCATGTACTCTTAAATATTATTTTGAATACTCCTTAACCATATTTGCATTTATATCTATACTTTATCTCCATATATTTTAAATCTTTCTTAAACACATTTGCATATATATCTATATCCTTCTCTCTGTATACTTAAATCCTCCTTAACGATGTGTGCATTTATATTTATATCCTTATCTATATTTACACATCCATAGCGACTTACCCATCAATGCCCTATGATGAGAAATGCCATAACTATACTATCTCACTAACTGGTAATTTGTTTGATATATTTATTCTTATGTTAATTGCTTCCAATCTGCATTTTATTCCATAGAAATAGGTTAAATTCCTCTTAGCTAATTCCTTCCCAGTCCTTATAAATTCTACTAAAATAATTCTTTAAATGCTGTTTTTTAAAAAGTCAATTGCTAACATGGTGGGCTACTTGAATTGGTGAGGTAAGAGATAACTGACTTGCAAAATGCAACCTGAACAGGGATTGATCTTGTGTCATATTTGTAATATTTACTTTTGTTTCATTCAGTAAATATTTGAATTACAGAATTCTATTTGAATGAAAATCTTAGATTTGCCAGATAATTAATGTTTAATAAGATTAATTCCAAAAATCTTCTCATTGGTATGATATCTTTTTTACTTTCCCCTAGGATATTTTTTGACTATGTTTTAGGTTTAGCACACACACTGAAACTACAATAGTCCATCATTAAATGGATTAGAGGCAATGGGTTTTTGGTTTAAATTATAAAAATATTATAAAATATTCATTTGGGAATCTAAGAAAATTCTAAAATATGATGCAGCTGACCTTGCATATGAATTTTGACGTAACTTAGAGAATGACTTTACAGAATAAAGAAAGAGTTGCAGATAAATAGTACATTCCTAGAGCAATGTTTCTCCAGTTGAGGTCTGCAGGTTCACCCTCAGGGAACCCACAGGTTTTTCTCCCAGAAACCTTATAAATGTAAGAGTACATGTTGGCAATAGTTTGAATGTTTCAAGGTAAGCATATTATGAATTTAGTTATCATCTACCCTAAATATAGAGTCTGGATTTAATTTTGTAGTTGAATTGTGTTGTGCCATGAGGTGTTACATAAAATAATTCTGGCCTGTAAGCTTAATAAGTAAGTGATCCATTTGTACCAAGGCTAAACGACATCCTGTTAAATGTTGTACAAGGGGAGGGTATAGCTCAGTGGTAGCGTGCATGCTTAGCATGCTTCAGGTCATGGGTTCAGTCCCCAGTTCCTCCATTATAAATACATAAATATATAAATAAGCCTAATTACCTCCCCCCCCAAAATTAATTAAAGAAAAAAATAGCTTTAATGTTCTGAAATGAAGTGATATGAAAATTAATGAAACAATTTAAAAATAAAATTTTAAAATAATTTTCACCATAGGCAAAATGGAGAAATAGATTTGAAAACTAAGTCACTCATTACATAGTGTACAATTTATGTGTTAAATTACATACTCTAGAAAAACTAGTATTGTGATAATCAGTGCTATATTCACCTTGTATGTAAATATTTGGTTTCAGCAAAAATATATCATCCATCACAACCAATTTACATTAAGATGTATTTATTAACTTATTATTTTGTTAACATTTGATTTGTAAACTTATATCTGTTTTAACTTTACAAGGACTATAAGGATAAGAGACATACCTAGTTTTATTCTTGTATTTATTTGAGTTATATCTAGTTTTATTCTTATATTTATTTGAGTTATATCATCATCAAAATGATTTTAGCCAACTCAAAGATCATTCCTTACAATGTTTTATTTTTTTGTTATTTGAAGGAGTCTATGCATTATTTCATCTTGAGAAATGCCATTTTAGAGGGCAGACAATATGTCTTAGAAGTATCTGTTTACCCCATGGGTCCTATGCCAATCTTGCATATATTGCTAAATAAATACTAATTGTTTATAACTGAATG